ATTTTATAAATTAAACTATGATAGTTTTTTCATTTTCAATTTTACTTCAGAACCACATGTACGTACCCAAAGAGCAGCATGTGGCTCGTGAGCCACAGTTTGCTGACTCCTGGGCTAGAGCACTGTTTCAAACACCTGTCTCCAATAACATATCAGCAATTGAGGCTGGGAGGCAGTGGTATTCTTTTCCCAGTTCCTGAGGCTTTTTAATAAGAGGGTGCTGATTTTTGCCTGTCTCCTGATTCAGCTGCAGTCTGAGTTCACCAGGCAAAAACTTCCCATAAGCAGAGTCACCTGATGAGGTGAATCAGAAGTCTGCATAATCATTTCTAATGACCAAACCCTGGTTGTTTCCCAGCCTCTAAAAGGACACAGCCTAGCAGCAGTCTGCATTGTGACTGGCAGAGATGGGTGTTGAGCAGGTTGGAAGTAACTCAACAGTATTCAGATGCTGGAAAGGGGTGGGTTTGTGGGGGTTTTTTTGTAGAAAAGGCATCACCAAAGGTCATGGAGCAAAAAGGGATGATCCTGGGGAACTCAGTCGCAGAAAGGGAGGCAGATCCAGGTCTGACCCCACCATGGGGAGTAGGGGTGTGGGGGAGGGAGCTCCTGGAGTCACTCCTGGGAGGGGAGAGCCCAAGGATCCTCAGTCCACCTTGTGACTTCAGATGGGGACTTCAGACGGGGACACTGAGGCTTAGAGAGGAGCAGGTGGTTGCTTAGGGTCACAGACATCAGGAAGGGGCAGGAGCCCCCGGAGGAGACAGAAAGGAGAAGCAAGAAGACCTCACAGCTTGAGACTCAAGAGAACCCAAGTGCCATCGCAGCTGGGTCCCAGCGCCCAGCCCCTACCCCGTTGGACATCCTCAATGTGAGTCCAAGTCTCCTCAGGATGGAGTCTCCGAAACAGGGTGCTAGGTGGCCCCACAGAGCCCCCTCTCACCTATGGACAGGTCTGAGTCCCGAGTCACAACAATCCGTTCACTAGGAAGGAGAGGGCTGATCCCCAGCCAGGAGGGGACCCAGCTTGGGGTGGGGGTCATTGGGAAAGTGATGAGCTGGGCCTGGAGTGGGGTTATGGACAATTTTTCATTTTTCTTTCTGGTTTATTTGTATATTCTTTTCTGTAACAAATGGGTATCATTTCCACAACAATCAAATACCCACACCATTCTCTACCCCATCCTGGTTATATGAGTACACACAAATCATTGTTTATTGTGAAAAGCCTAATGTCTTTAACAGGACCACACTTATCCAGAGCTTGCCCTGAATTCAGTTTTTTTTTACCTTTATTATTAGCCTTCACCCATCCTAAGTGAGTTAGTCACTATTCTCTTTTCTGACACCTTTGCACTTTCAATGTGACATTCTTTCCTCTTGTCCCCTGCCAAAATTCTCACCATCTTTAAGGCCAAAACACCACATTATCTTCTTAATGAAATCTTTTCTCATCTGTCCTCCTGAAAGTAAAATTTCTGTGTTCCCATCATGTTTTGTGTTCAATGATTGTATGTAAATTTTCCCTAATATAACTTTTTGTGTATATAAATTTGTCTTTCCTAGTAGACTGTAAGTGAAAAGGTTTGTCACCTTTGGCTAATTTATAAAGCATTTTTATATCCACCAATCTTCTTTTATCCTCACAGGATTTAAGGGAAAGAGAATCAGTATTTTATTTAGTGGCAACTGTGTTATCAGGCAGTGTGTTTGAGGCTTTATATATATATCATTCCACTTAACCCTCACAGCAGTCTCATGAAGTCATTTTACATACGAAAGCATAAGCTCACAAGGTTCATTGACTTACTAGGGTCATAAGCTGGCAAAAACGGGTGAGTTCTTTGTTATTTTTGGTCTTGTTCTTTCCATTACAAAAACATGATTGTACACCTACCAATGTGGAAGACACCAGTAAATAGCATGTAAAACTCCACTTATGGTTTTCTAGCACACTACAACGGCTATATTCAGATAATACTTCAGAGTCAATTAAAGTCAGAGGATTTTAGAACTGGAAAGGACCTTTTAGATCATCTAATCCAACTCCTGTATGTTAGAGATGAGAAATATGATCTTCCAAGAAATAAATTTCCGTATATATACCTAGTTAGCAGATGAGCCAGGATTAAAAACCAACTGAAGGCAATATAGCAAAGTGGTTACGATTATGGCCTTTGGAGTCAGCATCAGGTTCAAATCATAGCTCTAATACTTAATGAGTGTGTGGAACCTACGATGATTTACAAATCTTATCTATGCTTCAGTTTTTTCATCTGTAAAAGGAGGATAATGATACCCTATAGTGTTGTGAGGATTAAATGTAACAGTGCGTAGCAAAAAGCAAGCAACGATCATATTGGGTATTCTCTTATAGCCCGTCTCACTGTCCAATCTTCTTTACAGGAAACCACATTGCCTTTTATGGATGACTGTGGAATGGACGTTGTATTTCAAGGTCAAAGTGAGTAACAATAAATAAATATGCATTTATTCATGTGGTAAGTCCCTTTTTAAAAGCACATGCACAAATGCTTCTCTGTAGATAAAAAATTTTGGAAAGGAATTGTTCATTCGATATGTGTTTATTGAGCCCCTACTTACTACAAGTCAGGCATAATGGTAGATGCTGGGTATGAGAAAATGAACAAAGCTGATATAATCTCAATCTTCATAAACACTGAAATTTGGTTGAAAACAAAATACTGCTGAGATCTACCTATGAAACATATTAAGCAAATCTTTCATATAGTTAAGTCAATACAATATAATAAAGTGCACATTAGAATTTGAGACTAGTTGTACTTGTGTCTTGTGTTCATATATACTTGTGTCTTTCTGTAAAACAAGATACTCTTTAGAATTAAGTTCTGTCATTTCTAGTATTGGTCATTTCAACTAGATTTTAGTGAATTTTCTGACAATTAGCCTATTTGTATTTCTTTACATTAAATAGAATATTGGAATGGGTAGGTTTAGTTAAGCATACTCCCTTAAAATGTGTGATAATCACCATCTGTTGGAGGGTTTTATGAGTAGAAAAGAACAGTTTTGCTAATAACCAGTAAATAACAATTCCTTACAAGGCATTACAAAGTTCAATTTTATGAATTTGTGCTCATTTACTCATTTTCTTTACACACACACACACACACACACACACACACACACACACGTATATAAATGTGCATGTGTAAAGCTGCCTAAAGAGATAGCTGATACTCTGGACATAGGGTCACTAATATACTGATGATCTCCAGGTTGCTTGTATTTGTTTGAATTAGGATGATAAAACAGCCCAAGGATCAACAAAGAAGAATTTGTATTATTCATGTTGAAATTACCTTATGGTGATTCCTTAAATTCCTAACACATTCCTTAATCCTTAGCACATTAACATAAGGAATTAATTCCTTAATACAAGAATGTGACATGCTATTTAATTGTACCTGAAAGTGAAAACTATTGTTATAATTACGAGAAGTATAGAGAACAGTAAAAAAACAAGCCAAAGTAAGGAGTCAGGTAGACTGGGTTCAAATCTCAATTGCCATTTAATTGTATAATTTGTGGGAACATCTTTGAGTCACAATATAAAATGTTTGCAAAATAAGGATAATAAGATTTTTCTTGTAGAACTGTATGTAATAAGTTGAAACACAATAATGAATGTAAAGTGCCTGATAGACAACAGCTATCTGTAGTTAGTATCAGTGGTTGGCTTTATTAATTTGAAAGGAAATATCACAAAAGCAATGATTCAAAAAAAAAAACATCACTGCCTGTCTGAAAACTAGTTGCTAAATAGAAATACCCAACCTCACTTAAATTATTACAATCCTTTCAACTGGAGAAATAAAGGAAACACACAAGATTCAAAGAAAATGGCAAAATTGGGACTAAATGAGATTATAAAAGTTTGTTCAATTAATCAACAAGGAGATTGGAAGATCAATGAACTGTCCTAAACATGGTGCATTGCTCTCAAAATGTAGAAGGCAGTTGCTGATAACTCCTTATCTTAGAGTTATCCCTAGAACTCTTTTTGGAACTGGCTGCTTTAGAAAAAAAAAAAATCACCTGCTTTTTCTGGAAAAAAGGGTGATTATTTAATTAGGTGGTGAGTGAAAACAACTTACCTGAAGAAACTGCATTACTCAAGAAAGACAGAAGTCGCCAAGGTTCACTACATTACGTTTTTTAAAATCTTCGGCTGAATGAACACTTTGCCTCGCATTATCCCTTCTAGGAAGCAATTAAAAAAAAAACCACAAAATCTTATTCTGGCTACCTCAGACCTCCATCCAATCTTCTCCTGAGTCCTTCGTTATCCAAGGAAGCCTGGTGCAGTGCGCGGGCACTGCTTTCTGAAGGCACACCTATCCTGATCTCTGTGGTTTTCAAAAGGTAAAACGCTTGCAATTTTAAGCTTGTTCTCATATGTGATTAGCGCATAGCAGCCAGGAAAACAAAGGCCATTGTCACCCAATTCAAACTGCAGAGGGAACGTTAAATTAATTCTAAATCAGGAACGATCCCCTCGTCCCACTTTCAAAACGTTTGTCAAAGGTGTTCTCTTCAGCCTGCTACCTGCTTCCGCTGCCAGCCAGGGCAATGGAAACAGTACTCAGGAAAAGGATGTTAAAATCGAGGGTGACTAAACCCTGGCAACGGGAGAGTAAGGACACACTTTAAATATTGGTAGAGAGACTCGAAACTAAACCAAGTTGCGGCACACGGTTTCTTCGGCCTTGCCCAGGGACATTGGGGGACCCGAGGTCAACTTCCAAGTTGGAGGTGGATACTGCGAGTGGAGAAGACGTTAAGCCGGGATCCCAGGGCCTTCTCTAGCAGCACAGAGGGTCAAGCGCCACAGGGAAGGATGGGGACTCCTCCATGTTCAGCCCTGTCCCGCTCACTTCTTGGTTCAGCCAAGATGCTGCAGGAGCCTCAGCCAGCGGGAAACTGGCCCCCGGAAGCAACTCGGAAAAATCACTTACCCGTCTCCCACCTCCACCTCCGGCGCTGATCTAACAGGAGCCTGGCCCGCAGGCCAGAATCCAGCCAGGAACCCTCTCAGTCCTCCCTGACGACTGCTCCAGAGCGTCACTGACAACCACCCGGAAATGATACAATAGCTTCCGGGGCCGCCGAGCGCGCGGCGGGAAATTATTTCCCAGAGCCCAGATTAGTGAAGCAGCGAGCGCTGCAGCGGCAGTCGTCTTCCCTGTCACCACCACCGCCCGAAGGGAGCAGCCCAGATACTCCAGCCGGGAAGGTAAAGAGCCTCAGCTCGGAAGACACAGTGTCCCCTGACTCTGTGGGGATGCTTCCTCCGTGCCCCCCGAAGTTTCTGCCGCTCCCGGCTGTGAGGCTGGGAAGGGGCTGGGGTGAGCGGCAGAGGCGGCGCTTGCGTCTCGCGCTTTCCGCAGCGGCTGTTCCCCCTCTCCTGCCTCGCCGAGTTGTGCCTGCCTCGGTGGGCTGCACCCGCAGAGCTTGCTTTGCCTTGCCGCGGTGGAGGGCAGGGCTGAGCCGCTTCCCCCGCCTCCCGTTTGCGCGGCTCCGCAGCTCGGTCCCCTGCCAGCCAGGCGCTAGGCCACCCGCCTCTCTCGTTTCCATAGAACCGACTGGGACGCTTCTTCCTGAGTCCCAGCTTCTTGGCTGCTTTCCATAACTTTGCGTCACTGCAGGTGGCTGGGATCCCCAGGCCCACCTTCTTGTGACGAGGAAAATGGTGTCATTCTTTTCTTCCTACCAGAATTTTTGAACGTATCAGATGGTAATGATCATCTCTCTGCAGCTACTGTAGGCCTTTACAGGTAACACACACACACACACACACACACACACACACACACACTGTTCCTGGGGATTATGCTATTTTATCATAGCTCCTTGAAAGCTGGGAACAAGACTTAGTGGTTATTCTGAGATTTGTTCCACTCTCAAAGCCTCTGATTAAATACTGACAAAAAATTGCCCTGCCATATCAGCATTTGATCCAGAAATGAGATGGAGCTTGATTTTGATTTTGGAAGTCACAGGCTCTTTTTTTTATAAAAAAGAAATTACTGTTCTGTACCAAGAAGAGAAAAAAAAATTTGTTTCCGTTGAGATACTATATTCGGAATGAAATTTGTGTGGCCTTGTGAACTTTTTTGTTTTGTTTGTTATTATGTTATGCCTCAATTCCCAGAATATCTTTTGATGTGTAAGATGTTCCCATTTTAGGAAAGTTTGATTAAACCTGTATTGCAGGTGTTCAGTACGTAAATTGATAGTTTGGGGTGGATTTTTATGAGGGAGTTAATTTGATTACATTTAAGTTAAAGAGTATTCTTAATGAACTGGGATGTTCAGATACTTATAATGTACACATTTATATTATAAAGACAGTTTTCAATAATGCAAATTAGATCTGTTTTATAAATCCAGATTTTCTTTTGCCTTATTCACTTAAGTTCAATTTTATGACTGAATATTTTCTTGCTTCCCTAAAGCAAAAAAGCATAAATCGTGTGAGAGTCTTTGAAAAGGTGGTCAGATGTGGTTACTTTTTATGATCAAAATTCAAAACTCTTAAGGTTTGATAATAGGTATCCACAATTTCCACTAATGTCTAAAAACGTTTTTACAAAAATCAATAGTATGGCTTTATTAATTAAACAGTATTTTCTTGATTAGTCCAAGATAGCCTTGTCACTAAACAAAACATTTTAAAAATCAAAACAATTCCATATAGGCTCTGAATAATACAACCTAAAGATAGCGAAGAACCCTCTTTCTCAAAAATATAACTAAAATGAAATAGCTGTTACTCTTGTAATTGACTCCTTAAAATATGCTAATAGGAAGTATATGCTATAAAATGTGCTATGCACTTCTTGTTACTCTCTAAGGACGTCTTACTGCTTAAAAGTTTAATATCCTGAAAACTGTTAGTTTCATGTAATTTTTACTTTATATCAAAATTATTTGAAATAAAAGTAGTGTTTTTGATGAAGAAAAGCCCATATGAATTAGTCTTGTGATTAATACCAAATGCATTTTGAGAGGAAAATAATGAAAACTTTCTTTTTCATAAGAAAAAATGACACTCTTTAGATTGTTCCTAGAAATGCTTTGAAATTTTAGTCATTAGTGTTATTTATCTGAAAATAACTTATGATTATGTTTAAATATTTCCAGTGATACTGCTGATCAAAATGTCTCACCACCCTCATAGTAGATTCCTTTTCATGCAATGTATTTTTTTCTTGCACTAGCTGAAAATAGATTGCTTTGTAAAATTATTTTGTGGTTAAAAGTATTAGACTAAATTCTGACACTTAAGTCAAAGTAGTATTGTAGAAAAGGCATACAGTTTTTTCAGAAACAGGTCTTTGAATCTAGGTTTCACCATTTACTAGCTGTGTACCTTTGAGCCAGTTTCTTAATCTCTCATATTCTCCAGTATCCTCATCTGTATAAGAAGGGTAAACAGGATATTGTTGAGAAGTAAATGAACTGAAATATATGAAGTGTATAGACCACACTAGGTCCTCAATGAACAATGAAAGCCAGCTTGTTCAACCTTAGACATTATGCTCCTACTAGGGATTACAAAGTTCCTAGGACACTAAATCAGGTTCCACTTTTCATCCCCCATGGCTAACCAGTACCTACTGTCCATTCCTTTTTCCCCTGAATATCATACCTCTTGTCCATATTCCTTAAGGGCTCCTTTTTCCCTAAAACTAGCATCTTCAGTCCAGCCTCTTCCTTGTACAGTACTGGATAGATTGGACATCTCTATAAATCCTCTTAGCCTCTCATTTCTTCCTCACCATAGTCGCTTTGCTGTTACTTCTCCACTTCCTCTCTCTATTGCCAAATTTACTATCTCAGAGACTGCTTTTATCCCAAATAATACTATGGAAGTAAGAACATCCCTCAAGTCTTGTCACTGGAGATTTCAGTCAAATAATTAATTTTTGTAAGTACACACACACACACACACACACACACACACACACACACACAAACTCACTCTGTAGCTTAGAAGGATGGGGCAGGAAATAGACTCTACATCTTAAAAAAAAAAATTCCAAAGAACTGATTTGGCTCCTAGGTCAAGAGGATACAAAATTCCTAAACTCCTACTTGATGTTACAGCATACAGAGCCAAATTGTACTTTACTGTTACAGTTTGAGTAGTAACTGTGTTTTGTATCTACCTTTTGCAATATTGGTTAAAACAGGGATCTGACACTTTAACTCACACTTTTTAGTTTTAGTAATTATGTGCTTTTCCAGTTAAGTTCTTTAGATAACACAAATCATGAAAAACTTTCAAACTTGAATTCAAAGCAACAATATTGGTTGTATTCAAGTCTTGGTATATAATTTTCAGAAGAGGGAAGTTTAACTGCCACAGACTTCTTTAAACCTCTCTTTGTTGCAACCTTTTCCTTTTTAACCCAGCTGTTCAACTCTGCTCCTTCATCCTCCCTCCTGATCCATACCTTTGTATTCATATCTATATTCCTGCCTCAACTTTTCCTGAGTTCTCTTTTCAACGTATTCTGGCTACATGTCATATTCCTTAAGTGTGTTCTAGCTATGTGTCATATTATAAAGAATTTATGGGACCTAAAAAGCTAGTGCATAACGTTCTTAATTATGATGAGTGCTTAGGTTTATTTGCATTTCTGTCACCAACTGCAAAGGAATTTCAGGCATCAGGGATTGGCCCATGTGGGAGATATTTTGGGAAAGTCCACACCACAAAGACAGTTGCTTGCTCTGCATAAATGCCAGCTCTATTCACAATCATTATCTCCTTAGTTGTATTATGTGGTTCAAGGTAAGTAACTAGATTTCTTATTTTAATTACTACAAAAATTTAAAAATTACTACCAAAATATTTTCTTGTAACTAAGAATCTGATATATAATTTTTAATTTTTGACAGTAAAGATAAACACTTAACTGTTAAATAAATGATCTGTTTGGTTTTTTCCCCTTTTTTTAGGATAGTATCTTCTGTTTCAATGCTTGAAGATGACCACCTCCTATATAAGTTCTAGAAAAGACTATAATTCCCCTAGAAATACCACTGGTACCATTACATTGCAGTATGTTTCTTCCTTGTGTTGGAAAACTTCTAGAAGTTAGCCTTTGATTCTCCATACTCCAGAACATAGCACCCACACAAAACTTGACCATATTTGTAAGGACTTTGAATTGCCTGGGTCATTGATAGGTATTACACCAGTTTTGTATAGTGCTGCCTTTGGGTTCATTGGCATATCAGGCTATTGTTTTTTTGTCTTCTTAAACCTGCAGGATCTTAGGAAGAACCATTAAACCACTAATTTTATGAATATAAATAAATCTATCCATATATTTACATCTGTCTGTCTAGTTCTATGTATATATATCAATTTTCCCATGGAAATGTATGAATTAGATCTGTGGTCTAGGCTATTAATTTGTCATATGATGTGGTGTTAAAAAACATTCCTGGGCTGGCCGAGTGGCTCAGTTAGTTAAGAGCTCATTCAAGTGTGCAAGCTCTGAGCAACAGGGTCACAGGTTCGATTCCCAGCCCGAGCTGAGCTGCAACAGGTGGCAGGATGGCTCATCTAAAAAAAAACAAAACAAAAAAACCCCAAGATTCCTAAATGTAAATACTGTTGTTTCAAGTAGGTAATTTTATTATGGGAAGCTATTAGATTAGGTTAATGGAGTTTGTTCTTTAAAAATCTTTTCTACTTATTGTGTGCTATCACTAGGCTTCAAAATTCTGTGAAAGTCTAGCAAATAGCCCAGTTTTCCTATAAACTTGTGAGTAAATATTTTGTATTCTGATTTGTTTTTTAATATTCATATTTGCGTAATGTTTGAAACAGCACGTCCTGTTTTTTCACCAGTATTTTTTATTTCCCTTCTTTTAATTTCAGTTTCATGTTTGTCTTTCAAAGGAAAGAAATTGCTTTAAAAAGCCTGTGCTAATTTCTACTATTAAGCACAGTTGTTCCTGTTTTCATTTCACTGTGGACTCTTACTTTGACAGAAAATGCTGTTAAATATGCAAAGTGGGTATATTTATTCCATTATAAAGACAGTATGATTTATACTGACTCTAGTAAGCCTGTCACTTAATTTATGCATCAAACCAAAATATATTAAAATGTCACCTTGTTAATCATAAACATTCAAATTGTGAAATAGCTATTTTTAATTTGATCTAAAAGAAGACATAATATGATAGATTTTTTTTTTCATACAGTTCTATATAACATTTAATTATCAGGAAGCAGAAGGATAAAATTTAAAGGACAACTTTCAAATTAAACTTTTTGAGTGGTGGCTTTACAGTGATTTTTCTCATTGGTTTCTGTATGTTTTGATTATTTAACACTAGTTTCTCTATATCAGTAATTTTAGTAGCCAGACAGGCAAGATTTTAGGTTTTTAAAGCTACCCAAACTTCCCTTCTTCGGCAACATTTCTTGAAATAGCCTACTAAATAGCTTTTGAAACTCTTAAATACATAAATAAAATGCAAATAGTAGATAAAATATATGCGGTTAAAACACTTGTATGCCTCTGATAAAAGTGACTTTTAAGAACTATAAAAACAATTAGATTGTCTTTTCCTTTAGAGTACCAAGATGATATTCACAGGTATTTTGAATTTCAGTTGTCTAGTATTCCTGAAAAGACCTATTATTTTCTAAAGGAAATTTGCTTAAATGATTTATTTAAATAATTTTCTAGAATTACTGAAAGCAGCATTTCTCCGTAGTTATGGTCATATGCCTTATAATCCACATGTGACTTTATGTGTATTAATATGTGTTCTGCATTAGGCTAAATCATTATTTCTAGAAACAGCATATTCTTTGTAAAGTTTTCATATATTTCCAGTCTATGTTAATGAGTATTATCACTCAAGAGCTATGTTATTTAACCCATGTAAATGGTTTAAAAAAAATGTATGATTAACACAATAGAGTTCCTTATACAAGAAGCTACTTGCATTTTATTTACTGACGATAGTACTTTACTTGTATAACTGTTGGGTTGTCGGAAAAGTCATGACGTATTTTTTCTGTTTTTCGTTGCAAAAATGCATCATGACTTTTCCGACAACCCAATATTTCATAAGACACCAAGCCCTAATGTATACACTTTACAATTTTGTGTTGATCAGATCCTTGAAACTTTTTAAAAATTTTGTTTCATTGAAAAGCCTTATCATTAAAGACACTTTATTTTCCGTATCTTGAATTTTAAGGTAGTAGAGGGTTAACACATTACATCCCTTTTCCTCTTTTGGAACCAATACAGATATATGAAAGTCAGATATATTGAGGTAAAAATATCATCTTTTTTTTACTAAATAAAAATTATTTTATTTATGGCTTTGATGTGCAACTCCAATGTGCTTCTTAGTGTATAATCACTGAATTGATTTACCCACCCAGGCAATTAGTGCAAGCTACTACTGGCAGCTCCTTAGGACATGTCAGAAAGCATTAATATGAGAATCTTTGCAAATATGCAGATATGCTGAGTAATGCATATCCAGTTCGTTCTCTCAAGTAGCTTCTCCTCCCAAAGCCAGAGAGTGATGGAGGGTAGAGAAGAACCAGAAGTGCTATTACCCTAACTGAAGTTTTCCTCCTAGAAACTTGAAGCAAGGGAAATGAGTTTACTTTTGACCCTTAGTAATGCTCTAATTGTTTATAATTAGACATTCTTTCAAGTTTTACTCTAAAAGGAATCTCAACCTTTAAATAAATATATGTATAGATGTGTTTCATATATATTATAAATGTGTGTGTGTGTGTGTATGTGTGTGTATGTATTTAGTCTTTGAAAATAATTTCTGTAAACATTTTTTTACACCATCAGTTATCTGTTACTAGTCCTGGGCTCAAACAGTTCCAATTTTTGAGATTTACTTTTGTCTTGAAAGAAGCCAAATACCATTGCTCTACCTATGACATTAATTAAATACTAATCCAGAATGTGATAAAATTGTTAGAGAAATAGAAAATTACCCTGATTTCTATAGTCCATGCTTTCTTCATTTGTAATGATGAGCTGCATTCTCTTTGAGATACTATCTAGTTCTCATGCTCCAACCTCAAGTGTACAAATAAACAAAATATTGTATTTTAATTGGAAATGCTGTGAGTTTCTCCTTTCTTGCTTAAAAAATGTGCCACCTCAAATACAACTTGCTTTGTGAACTACATTTAAATATGGATTAAGGTCCTATCAAAATAAATTTGAAAACCATGTGATTTTTTTCAGTCTACTTTGTAGGTAATGAGATTAATATGTATATAGCAGAGTTAAGAAATAGATTGGGACTAGGATTCAGGTTCATTATATGTACCTATTATACTAAATTATTAGGTATAAATGCTGTCAGACCATGAGGTTTATCAATTTCTCCAGTACTTATACCCATTCTTCAATATCTGTCCACAAGTTTTTAAAATTAGTATAAAATCTGATTGTCATTGTCCACAAGTGTACTTATTTCATAAGATGGTAGCAAAAACAGTACTTTAAAAATGAAGCTATTATTATTATGCTAATATTTATTTAAGTATCTGTCCTTTTCTGAAGAATTATGTTCATTCATCAGTGTATATTAGTGGAAAGTAACATAGTAATGCAAACTTAATGTTCAAACCATAAAAAAAATCTCATTTAAGATCACATTTTGAGAAGATTAACTTTTAAAACTAACTTCTATTGCACATAAACAATTTTAATATTGGTATTTATAATTAAGCCTGTGTGTTTAATTCATTATGTTTAATGGCTTGAGTTTTTATTTTTAGCACTGATAAGTAACAAATAATGTCAATCCTGTGTACAATCTCTGTAACATGTTATCTCCTTTATGTGTATATATGTTAGATGGAAGATGGTGCTCCAAAGCATGTCATCCAGATGACAGGATTTAAGATGGAAGAAAAGGAAGCTCTAGGCAAATTGCTTTTAAAACTAGATTGTACTTTCATTAAGAGTGAGGTGAGTACAGAAACTTATCAAAATTTTGAAGATATAGAAAAATAACTATTGGGTTGTTGGAAAAGTCATAACACATTTTTGCAACGAAAAACATAGAAAAAATATGTCATGACTTTTCCGACAACCCAATAGAATTAAAATGCTGGCCTAAAAATGACAGAATGCCCCCTTGATGTTTTAAGAATAAAAAGAATGTGTTATAAAGGATATCTAACCTTAGTAACATTTTTATATGGATTTTTCCTTCCAGAAATACAAAAATTGTACACATCTTATAGCTGACCGCCTATGTAAGAGTGAAAAATTTTTAGCAGCTTGTGCAGCAGGTGAGTTAACTGCCATCCCTCTATCTTTAAAAAAGAAAATCATGTTAAAGAAAAAGTACCTTAGTACCAAGAGAGATAGTATGTTTATTATATCTAACAAAAATGTTTTTTCTGACATTTTTCTGAAAATACCTATATTTGATATACTTTTAGCTTTATTTTTCTGAGTAAAACTGTATAATGCATGAGAAATATATTAAATAGGCAGAAGTGCTTCATCAGATATTGTCATGTAAGTGCTTTATGTAAGAAACATTTTAATGAAAAGATTCTGTTGAAGCTTCAGCTGTTGTCAGTCAAGTTTCTTTTCTTTGATCTATCATTAAAAATAGTTAACTTTTTTATTTTCCTCCTGCTGCCTCCCCTGTCATTTATGCTGTGAAGCAATGATCATCCTATTTTATTTTTCTAAGATTTTAAATTCCATAAACCCAACTTAGGACTTAGTCCCTTCCTTGCTCCCTTTGTCACTATTGATGTTCCTTTTAGTTTTCTTCACTGTGATTCATCTGTTATAATATTATTCCAATGATTGCCCAAAAAAAAAGAATGTATTCAACTCAGGTGAATTTACCATTGTTTTTGGAGTAACTTACTAGAAAATCACAGATTTATTATTACCCCCATGAATGAAAACATACATTGTACCTGATGTTTAAAAAGATCATTGGCGCCCAGATAAAGAAACTACAGAATGTTTTTAAATACCCTGAATTCTCTAATTCAATAAATTTATTTTACAAAGTATAACAATGCTGTGGACATTATTGGAAATATTTTTAGCATAAGAGTAAGAATATCAATCTGACCCTAGATAGCAGCGGTTCTCAACCTTCCTAATGCCACGACCCTTTAATACAGTTCCTCATGTTGTGGTGACCCCCAACCATAAAATTATTTTCGTTGCTACTCTATAACTGTAATTTTGCTACTGTTATGAATCATAATTAAATATCTTTTTTGTTTTCCAGTGGTCTTAGGCGACCCCTGTGAAAGGGTCGTTCGACCCCCAAAGGGGTCGCGACCCACAGGTTGAGAACCGCTGCTAGATAGTGACTAATGATAGTAATCATAATTTAAGTAAAACCTATATATCTATATTAAACCTATATCTATATTTTATTAGAGTTATAATTATCATGAGAAAGATTACATACAATGTTCAGTGATATAGGCCTCTCACTACCAAAACATTTAGGAAAACAACTTAGTTCAAAGATAATGTTGTTGATACATTATAGTTTGTCCCATGTTGAAAAAGGTTAATGCTTTTTAATTGCATCATACAATATAATATTAGTTTCATGCGTACAATATAGTGATTAGTCATTTATATAACTTACAAAGTGATCACCCTGATAAATCTAGTATCCAGCAGGCACCATACGTAGTTATTACAGTATTATTGACTGTATTTCCTATGCTGTACTTTACATCCCCGTGACTGTTTTCATATCTGTCAATTTGTATTTCCCAATCCCTTTCATCTTTTTTACCCATCACTCCAACGCTCCCTCACCCCTCTGGCGATGATTAATTCTCTGTATATATGAGTTTGTTTCTGTTTTGCTTGTTTATTTTATTGTTTAGATTCTATATGTAAGTGAAACGATATGATATTTGTCTTTCTCTGTCTTGACTTATTTCAATTAGCATAATACCCTCTAAATCCATCCATGGTGTCACAAATTGCAAGATTCATTCTTTCTATGGCTGCCTAATATTTTATTTATTGTACATATTTACAACATCTTCTTTACTCATTTATCTGTCCGTGGACACTTAGGGTGTTTGCACATCTTAGCTACTGCAAATCGTGTTGCAGCAAATTTAGGGATGCCTATGTATTTTTGAATTAGTGTTTTGGATTTCTCTGGATAATACTCAGAAGTGGAATTGCTGGGTCATATGGTAGTTCTACTTTCAATTTTTTGAGGAACCCCTAAACCGTTTTCTGTAGTGGCTGCACCAATGTACAATCCCACGAGCAATGCAGGAGGGTTGCCTTTTTGCCACAAGCTCGATGACACTTCATTGTTTGTTGATTTATTGATGATAGCTGTTCTGACAGGTGTGAAGTGATATCTCATTGTGGTTTTCATTTGCATTTCCCTGATGATTAGTGACAGTGAGCATCTTTTCATGTGTCTCTTGGCCATCTGTTATATCCTCTGGAGAAATGTCTATACAGGTCCTCTACCCATTTTTTAATCAGATTGTTTGTCTTTTTGGTGTTGAGTTGTATGAGTTCTTTATATATTTTGGATATTAATCCCTTATTAGATGTATCATTGGCAAATCTCTTGTCCTATTTAGTAGGTTGCCTTTTCATTTGGTTGGTGGTTTCCTTTGCACTGCTACAACTTTTTAGTTTGATGTAGACCCATTTGTTTATTTTTGCTTTTGTTGTCTTTGCCTTAGGAGACATATCCAAAAAAATGTTTGCTAAGACCAACTCCAGAGAGTATATTGCCTGTGTTTTCTTCCAGGAGTTTTATGGTTTCAGGTCTTACATTTAAGCCTTTAATCCATTTTGAGGTTTTTTTTTTATATGTATATATATATGGTATAAGAAAGTGGCCCAATTTCTTTCTTTTTTTTTTTTTTATGTATCTGTCCAGTTTTCTCTACACCATTTATTGAAGAGACTCTCTATACCCTAATGTATATTCTTGCCTCTTTTGTCATAGATTAGTTGACCATTTAGGCTTGGGTTTCTTTCTGGGCTGTCTGTTCTGTTCCATTGATCTATGTGTCTGTCTGCCTTTATGCCAGTACCATGCTGTTTTGATTAGCCTTGTAGCGTGATACCTCCTATTGTGTTCTTGAGCTTGCTCTGACTATTTGAGATCTTTTGTGGTTCCGTAATTATTTGTTCTAGCTCTGTGAAAAATGACATTGGTATTTTTTTAGGGATTGTATTCAATCTGTGGATTGCTTTGGGTAGTATGGACATTTTAATGATGTTAATTCTTCCTATCCATGAGCACATACATGAGCATATACTTCCATTTATTTGTGTCTTTTTCAATTTTGAGAAAGATTAAATTTTATTTGGTATCTGGTCTTTATTGGTCACTGCTTATCAGAATCAAAATCCTTTTGTGACGGACTGTTTATTTGCTTTTTAGGAAAGTGGGTATTAACTAAGGACTATATAATTCATAGTGCCAAAAGTGGCAGATGGCTTGATGAAACAACTTACGAATGGGGATATAAAATTGAAAAAGATTCCCATTATTCACCTCAAATGCAATCGGCACCTAAAAGATGGCGTGAAGAACTGAAACGCACTGGTGCTCCAGGAGCCTTCCACAGATGGAAAGTTGTCCTCCTTGTGAGAGCTGATAAGCGTGATTCTCTTGTAAGGTAAGATAAGATCTTACAAAAACTAAAGCAATGAGAAAACAATTTTGGTTTGCTTGAAAAGTACCTTTTTGTATTCTTGGCAATTATTAGTTTAGTTTAGATGACCCATGTTGGTTTACTCTTTAACTCCTAGTTAAGCCATTCTACACATTTAAGTGTATGTATCTTGGAACAAAGCGTTTTATAGTATTGCTTTAAATTATTCTTGCAGTCTTTATTTTACAATACTTTGCATGTTATTTCTTTTGGCTAAGTCAAGCAAAAAAAAATTTCATTTTTTTAGTTTTAGTTTTAAAGCACTTTCAGATTTTTGCAAGTGAAATATTACATTATCACAAAGGCATTTTTCTGAGTTTATATAATCTTCATGGTTCGTACTGTTTCCATCATAATTTTATTTATTTTTGTCTTTTATATTATATTTTCAAATGGCTTCTTATCAGGTAAACTATTCTAAGATTGCTATGACTTTTGGGGGGGATGGAGTAGAAGGGCTTTTTGTCATCTTTATTGGAGTATAATTTATAGACAGTGAAATGCACACATTTTAAGTGTACATTTTGATGATTTTGGACAAACTTCTGCACCCTTGTTATTCCCACTACAATCAAGATCTGTAACATTTACATTATCCTACATTGTTCCCATGTGTCCTTGCGCATTTAATTCTGTATCTCCAATACCAGACAACCATTGATTTTCTTTGTCAGTGTAAATTAGAATTGTTTATCTTTAGAAGTTTATATAAATGGGATCATAATGTGTATACTCCTTTGATTTTGAGATTCAGCCACCTTATTGTATCAGCAGTTTATTCCTTTTTTGTTGCTGATTACTATTCCAAGTATGGCTATATCACAATATGTTTATTTACCCATTGCTGGGCATTTAAAAATATTTTTTCTAATGTAAATAAAGCTGCTGTGAACATTTGAATCCAAGTCTTCATCTAGACAAGTTTTCATTTATCTTGGGTAAATGTCTAAGAATGAAATTGCTGACTCAGATGGCAGTTTTGTGTTTAACATTTTAAGAAACTGTCAAACTGTTTTCTGAAGTCGTTGTACCATTGTACATACCCAGTAGCAATGTATGAGAGAGTTCCAGGTGCTCTGTAGTATTGTGAAAAATCAGTTGACCAAATTTGTGTTTTCTATTTCCGGACTTTTTATTCTACTCTATTGATGTCTATGTCTACCTATACCAACAACACACTCTTAACTACTGTAGCTTTAGTAATTGAATTTTAATAGAGTCTTGAAATCAGGTAGTATGAATCCTCCAGTTTTGTCTTTTTCAAAATTGTTTTGGTGAATCTGAATCCCTTTATATTCCCATATATATTTTAGAATTGGGTTGTCAATTTCCACAAAAAAGCCAACTGGGATTTTGATTGGGGTTGTGTTGAAGCTGTAGGTTAAGAAGGAAAAGAATTAAGATCTTAACAATATTGAGTCATCCTATCAACAGACTCTGTATCCTTCCAAGTCTACTTTAATTTCTGTCAGCAATGTTTTATAGTTTTCATTGTATAAACCTTGCATGTATTTTGTTAATCGAATCCTAAATACTTCTTCTTTTGCGATACTGTTATAAATTGATTGCTCTGAAAGTTTTATCTGCATTTGTTGAGATAATTGACTTTTCTCTTTTATTCTGTTAATATGGTAAATTATTCTGATCCATTCTTATATGGTAAAGCAAATTTGATGAAGTATTCTACTTCATAGTGTATTATCCATTTTTAATAATTGATTCTATTTGCATATATTTTATTAAGAACTTTTGTGACCTCAACCTGATAAATGATATCTATGACAAAATCTGAACTTAATATCGTGATTTTTTTTTTACCCCTCCATAATTGGGAATATGACAAGAATGCTTACTCTGACCATTTCTATTCAGCATTTTACTACAGATATTAGCCAGTGCAATAAGGCAAAAAAAATAAATAAGAGACATAGAGATGGAAAGAAAAAAGTTAAATAATTTTTTTTCATATCCAAAAGCCATGATTATATACTAAATAAGTTACCAAAAGAAGCTATAGAATTAGTGAATTTAGCAAGATCACAGGATAACAAGTCACTATATAAAAATTGTGCTTTTATATGCTAGTGATGAACAATTGGAAATTAAAATTTAAAAAGCAATATAACCTTTGGTGTGTAGTGGTTTGATTATGTGTCTGGATGTGTGTATTTTGTTTTTTATTTATAGTTTGTTATGTGTGTGTGTTTGTTATTTGCTTGGGGTTCTCTGACCTTCTTGAACATGTGGGGGTTTTTTTGTCTTATATTAATTGTGGAAAATTCTCAGCCATTATCTTTTATTTTTAAAGTTTTTTATTTAAGTATAGTTGGTATACAGTATTATATTGGTTATATTAGTTTCAAGTGTACAGTATAGTGATTTGACATTTTTATGCCTTACAATGTGATCACCCCACTAATTCTAGTAATCTGTCACCATGCAAAATTATCCCAATATTATTTACTATCTTCCCCTTTTCACCCATTCCCCTACCCCTTCCCTTTTGGTAGCCATCCCTTTGGTCTCTTGCTATGAGTCTGTTTTTGTTTTGTTCGTTTGTTTTAGATTCCACATATATGTGTAGCCATATGGTATTTGGTTTTCTCTGCCTGACTTATTTCACTTAATCATAATACCCTCTAGATCTATTCATGTTGTTACAAATGGGAAGATTTCATTCTTTTTTATTGCTTTGTAATATTTGTGTATGTGTGTGTGTGTGTGTGTGTGTGTGTGTGTGTGTGTGTGTGTGTGTGTGTGTGTGTGTGTGTGTGTGTGTGTGTGTGTGTGTGTGTGTGTACACCACATCTTTACTCATTCATCTGTTGATGGACATCTAGGTTGCTTCCATATCTTTCAGCCATTAACCTTTGAATATTTATTCTGTTGTGTTCTTTTTCTTCTGGAGCTCCATCCCCATGTGTTAGACCATGCGACTCTGTTCCACAGTTTTCACATGCTTTGTTCTGCTTTCCATTTTCACTTTTATGTTTCAGTTGGATATTTCTATTGACCTAACCTCAAGTTCAATGATTCCTTCCTCAGTTGTATGCAGTATGTTGATAATGTTGTTAAAGAAATTCTTCTATGATATAGTATATTTTATTTCTACTATTTCCATTGTACTCTCTGCTGAATTCCCCATCTCTTCATGCAGATTGTTCACCTTTTCCTTTTATCCTTTAACATGTCAGAAAGTTATTTTAAAGTTACTTTCTGATAATTTCAACATCTGAATCATCTCTCTCTGCTATTTATTTCTTTATCTCTTGACAGTGGTTTGTTTTTTCTTCCTTGCTGTTTGTGCCTTGCATTTTTTCTTGCATGCATAGACATCATGTATAGAAGAACAGTAGTAGAAGCTGAAATGAATAACATTTATTTCCAAAAATGGGCATACCTCTTCTGCAAGGCAGTTAGAATGGGTGGCTGCTTTAATTATACCAGGTGTTTAGCTTGGTTTGGGTTTTGTTCATGCTATAGTCACCTTCAAGACAGCATGTCAATTTACTCATGCACTGGGCAAGTTTCTTTTGGCTTAGTGTGGAGCCTGGGTGCTGGAGGGTTTTTAATTAGTTTTCTTGCTTCACTCTCAGCTTTCAATAGTTCCTGCACTAGTGGGTCATAGAAGGACTCTTTCTTCATAGTCTTCCTCTCTTGTTATTCATTTCTAGGATGAGGGTAAGGGTGGGTGTGTTCTCAGTTTGGCTGGATAAGCTTCAGTCTTAAGCATTCTGGACTTGGGGGTTGGAACTTCCTCAATGTTAGTGTGGCAACCACCCATGGTAGCCAGATTCTGCCTGCTATCTTCGGGTTGGGTCTTGGGCAAGAAAGTGTCATCATCCACTCTCCCAGTATTAGATCTTTGTTTTGTGTTGGTGCAGAGCCCTAAGCCCAAGTGGCTTTCCTGGCCCCCACCCCCAAACAGATATCTTTTGCTTCTATCCCTCACCCAGAAGCAATGGGTCTTTTTTGGGGCTGTGCAGCAGGTTTTCCTACCCCTCCCCAGAAGCAGATGGGTTTTACTTTCACTCTTCCAACAGAAACAGTGCACCTTTCTTGGGTTCTGAAGGTAGAAGACTTTTCTTACCTTACCCAAATGACTTAAGGCTTTTGCTTCTTATGAGAGAAGGACCCAGGGAAGTGGGCCTGGTTTTTGTGTCTATTTCTTGGTGGTAGCCACTCCCCACTGGTCCACCAGTGCTACCAATGGGGGCTCCCTCTGTTCCCTGCTCCTACTCTTTTTCATGCATACTTAATAGACGCCTGTGGCAAAGAAGTTGCAAGTGAGAATGGGCTTTCCTTGTGTCAGGAAACTCTGTAATACTCTACTTTCATGCTATCTACACTTGGCCTTACACTTATTAAAATTTTACCTGAGTCTTAACCTACTTTTATGACAGCCACTTTTTTCCTACACCCTGGCAAAAGTGAAATAGTTTGGGTGTCCAATGTCTTTATAAAGGAGCTTATCACTGTTTGGAAATTCAGCTTCTTGATTGGCTTCTTACTTCAGTTCTCTGATGGGTTCATGAAAAATTATGATTTTTGTAGATTACTTGGCTTTTTCTTGTTGTTAAGTGGTACTCTAGTGCCTTTCTAAATCTTAAGCAGAACTTTCATGAAACTTTTGGGATGCGTGTCTTTATGTGTGTCACCTGAGTCTAAATGTAGTGTATTTCTTAATGTATATCAGTTAAACTTTTTCAAATGCTAATATTTTAGGGGAGTGTTGGCAACTATTTTCATTTTTGTTGTTGTTGTCCAGAATGTTGTTTCTTGGATGTATGTTGATTTCTGAGGTAGCCACTTTCCTAGACTTCTTTCATTATTTTCTTGTTGTTTTTTTGGCTTATCGAGGTTACTTTTCCTTAGGGAATAGATTTTATATTTTTGGTTCCTAAAAGCCTTTCTCATACCAAGAAATGAATAAGTAGAAAGACTGCCTGATATCTTAAACAACTTATAATTTAAGAAATCATTACAATAGTTATTTATTCTCCATAGCATTCATATAGCCCAAAAGAATTAACTCCTTTCAGGAAATTATACTCCTGCTCCTAGGAAGTAATTGATTTAGATAATTTTACTGAATATACTTATTTTTAAAAACACTAGCTATACTATTCATATTTTTATTTAGAGTTTTGAAGGCTGGAAAAGCAAATGTTATTGTACCAAAAAGTTCACCAAGTGGAATAACTCATGTGATTGCCAGTAATGCAAGAATCGAGGCTGAGCAAGAAAAAGATAATTATAAGGCTCCATTTTATCCAATTCAGTATCTAGGGGACTTCCTTTTAGAGGTAAGTAAAATAAATAATGCACATTTAAAAATGTTTATTTTATAAAATAGCAATATAGTAAAATATAATTGTGTTCTGAATTTTGAAAATCTGATTGGAAGTAATCAAAATAACATTTTAGGGAAGCTGCTCTCAATTAAGCATTTGGAAACACTTTTGATAAATCTGAAAGATGTTTGACTATTAAATTTAAAACGTCTTATTTTGAGTTTCTACTTGTTTTCAGCTCATTAGTGATATTTACTACAAAATAACTTGAAGCATTTTAATCTCAGTAGCAATGGACTATAGTATCATATGAGAATTTTGGGGTTATTTTCCATTTGGAAAAGAGGGAGCTATTTCAAAGGATTTAGAAATATTTTCCTGTCCTATTCTCCTACCTCCCTCTTCCCATTTGGTGCAAATACCAGTTTTAGGTTATTTTAATGGGAACAATCCTAGGAGAAACACTCTGGAATTAAAGAAGAATTCTTCAGAAGAGTCACTTAAAATAGAAGAGAAACCTCAGTATGTCTGAAAACTGAACCTTGATCTTCCAGAAAAAACGGGCTCCTTCTTTGGTGTTTCCCATCTCAATAGATACCATAACCTTTTATCTGATAATTTATGTCAGAGACCTGGGAATCATCCTTGAAACCTTCTTTTCCCGTATTCCTCACACCTTGTCAATTACCAAGTCCTATTAATTTTATTTCAAATATTTCTCTAATCAAACTGCTTTTCTCTTTCTTTACCAACATCATATTGAGTTGATCCTCTTTCCATTGTGCTCCTGGAATAGACTCCTAATTATCATCCTGTTACTCCTTTTTACTCTGGCTAATTTCCTAACTACTCTTTTTCTTTGTCTAGTCCATCAGCCAAAATGCTGTTTCAGAAACAATTCTGATCCTGTCACTCTCCTACTTAAAACTCTCCAATGGCTTCCCCTTGCCCTTAGGATAAAGTTCTAAAACTCTCATATGGCCTATACGTCCCCATAGGATTCCTACTTTTTCAACTGTATCTTGCTCCATTTTTTCTGTGTTCACTGTACTATAACAAAACTGCTTTTTACCAGTTTCTGAAATAAGTTAAACTACTTCCTATCTCAGTGTCTTCTCAAAAAGTATATTCTCTGTTTGACAAGGTTCTCCCCACTATTCTCCCACTCCCTGTGCCTACCTGCCTCCTGTTCATCATTCAGGGTCTGGTGATAATGTTGCCTCTTTAAGGAAGTCTCCTTGTCTCCTTGTTAAGTTAGGTTCACCTCTGATGTGTTCCTATAGCATTATTTTGCTTTATAATACTATAATTATAATTAATTGGCTGACTACTTGGTTGACTTCTTTTTCCCCATCTAAACCAAAAGTACCATGTCATCAAGGATGAAGTCTGTCTTTTCTGTAGATATGTCTGAATCATCTTGCATAGAGCCTGGCACATGAGTTCTCATTTTATATTTGTTAGATTAGTAGAGAAATTATGAAAAACCTTGAGTCTTCCAAGAGTAGATGTAATATATCATTCTATAATTACCTTTCCCTACTGAGTAGCACCCTTATAAATTGGAAATTTGACCTTAGTTCAAGGGATGGATCTGCTTGAACTATGGGTAATCTGATTGCCCTTGACAGTGATTGGGCTATGAATGGACATGGGAACCAATATTGATCCATGGGACATAAAAAGAGATACATAAGAGTTTCTGGGATGTTTATTCTTTATTCTGAAGAGAGAGCCACTGACAGCTTGGCTCCTGCTAGATGTGAAGATGGAAGAATGTAACCTAAACTACCACTAGCCGCCATTCTTTGATTATGAGGAGAAATAGCCTTAGGATGAAAACAGTCCTGTACACAGGAAAATGTAGAGATAGAATCTGGGGCCTTGTTGAGATACTTGAGTTGCTGGGTTAACCAACCCTGAAACCTGTTTTAGTGTTAGATCACATTGCCATTCTGTAAGGTAATCATTTCCGTATTATTTAAGTTAGTTTTAGTTGGTTTTCTATTACTTTCAGCCAAAAGCATCCTGCTTCCCTATATGAACAATTTAAAGGTAGAATTAACTGTCAACAGAATGAAAGCCATTTTTAACTACACAGATTAGTAAAAGGACCTGAATTTTCCTTTTTTCATGGAAAAAAAATGATTAAAATGTAATATGTGGTATGCTTTATTCACAGTCTTTTTTTGCAGTAATCTGATAACATTTCAGATTCAGCTGCTGAAATACTGGAGGGCAGCAATAGTATATCAACTAAAAATAGCAGATAATCTCTCATATTTTCTTTTTAGAATACATTGTTTTGTAAGTTCTGACTTAGATAGCTGGAAGTTCATAACCATTAGTTACAAGTAAGAAAGGCATTTTGTGATCACTTACGAGGAGAAACTAGCCAGTTAATTTTGATGTCTTGCTCTTCTTCTACCACATTGGCATAGAACATATTTACATTCTTCATTAGATGGATTCTGAAGTGTCCTCTGAGAGTTGCCATTAAAATGATTGAGTGAAAAGTAACAATTAAGCTGTTTTTAAAACAAACTTTTGTTGAACCTCCTTTTTGGAAAGCTGCTTGGTAATAGAATCAGGAATCTTATTTGGTTCAAGTTTATAGATATTTATTGAAGACTTTTGTTGTACCAGGCAGAATGCTGTACACTAATGAAAACGAATGAGACCATATGTCAGACCTTGAGTTGCTTACTATTTAGTGGTAAAAACAGAATGGGGAAATTATTAATTACAGTTCAGTGTGCATTGTGCATTGGTAAAATTATGTGCAAGGAACAGGAATGCAAAAGAACAAGTAGTGACTAACATGTCTCATTTGTTTTACCCAAGGAAGCCGTTGCAAAAAACGGGAGGATACTTTTAGAATACTTCAAACTTCTTTAGCTGTTTGCTTAAGAAAGAGAATAAAATGAACCGCAGAATAGTCTTATGGAATGTAGTAGGAATAATAGAAAAAAATATATACTTTTTGAGCCAGATGAACAAATTTGTGATCCAGATTTATAATTTACTAGTTCCATGGCCATAGTGAAGTTATTTATCCTGTGACTGAATTTCTTACTTTGTATGTAGAAATTAGTCCTTACCTTACTTTGGTTCTTGTGAGATTACGATTACTCTCGGCTAATATTTGTTGAGTGATTACTATGTACCAGGCAGTATGCTAAGTATTTCAATGCTTAATCTTATTTTAAACCTCATGTTTCTGTGTGCATGTATTATGGCCCCCTTTTACAGTTGGTGAAATGAAGTACAGTCAGATTAAATAATTTGTCCATGATTCCACAACTGTCAGATCCAAAAGTTAAGGCCATGCTCTTAATAAATTTTAAGACTTCTTTCCTCAAATCTCCCCTTCCTTTTCTCATTTTGGGTATTACTAGGTTTCCTTGATATTTACCTGGTCTCTTTCTAGGTAGTTAAAAATACTTGACTATATAAAAACAGTACCATAAACTAGTAGTCAAACAGGATTATGAGCTACCATTGAAGAAATAAGGTGTAAACACTAGTTAAGAACCACACAGAGCACCCTAAAGAATCTGGTTCTTTACTTGACTTCTCTGGCTCTCCATCCAGTCTCATGAATTCATTTCAGTTGCATGGCAAATGCCATGGCAAATCAAGGAATAAGACTTGGAGACCAGAGCATAGCTAAACTATACCTAGTCCAAGACAGGAAACCAAGTCAAACATCTGAATCAAAAGCCAGGCCTTTGCCATACTGTTCTGCTGTACTCCTAGATAACAGAATAATTTACTGAATACCGTATTTGCCGGCGTATAAGACGACAGGGCGTATAAGACGACCCCCTAACATTTCCACTCAAAATACAGAGTTTGTTATATACTCGCCGTGTAAGACTACCCCCTCTTCCGCACACCTTCCACACACCAAATAAAAGGTAAAACAATATCAGATTTGATTTGGCCCACTGAAGTGCAAACAAGCGTATTGTATTTCGTGTCACCACATAACCGTTTTGGCGATGTTGAGCCACCATGTCTGCTACATGTTTTTCGAGTTCTGGCCAGTGTGGGGTGCCTCTTCTTAATGCACACTTACCCCTTGGCATACTCTTTAATGCTTTCTCGTTTGATTTCCAGTCCCGAAACATCTTTTCTGTTACTCCATATTGTCTTGCAGCAGCACAATTATTATTTTCCTTAGCAAAGTTTATAACTTTCAGTTTAAAATTTGCATCATACTTCTTTCTTTTGGCTGGTGCCATGATAGGGATGATAAGGGTTTGACTGGTCGACATTTTCTATGCTGTACTGTACAATGGTGCAGTATTGTGGTTGGCTGTTGGCTGTATACAAAGCCTGATTTGATTGGTCCCTGCTCCCTGTTTGCCCGCCCTGTCACTATAGCAGTCTGGTCCACCCTTGCATCAGCATCTCCCTGGGACCTCACTAGAGCGCAAGTGCGAGCTCTTCAACATTCTAACAGGCACCATGATAGCGCAAAATCGCGAATCTTCAATGCATATGTAAAGAAATATACGGTAACCCGAATTTACCACACTCGCAAAATTGCACACAGCTGACCATACACCCAGTATGGTATCGCGATTCGCGATTTTGCGCTATCATACTGGGTGTATGGTGGGCTGTGTGCGATTTTGCGAGTGTGGTAAAATCGCATAACAGCAAAATCGCATAACAGCCGAGCATACACCCAGCAGCGCTGCTGATGCCTGAACGGTATGTGGAATGAAGTGGGCGGGCATCGGGAGGCCACTATGGCACGGGGCAAGCACGATGGGCAATATATCTGAAGTGTACCTGGCGTATAAGACGACCCCCCACTTGGAGGCATATTTTTCAGGGCCAAAAAATCGTCTTATACGCCGGCAAATACGGTAAGTAGGCTTTTGGTCATCTGTTTGAAACATAGCATTATTCTATGTAAAATAGACTAGACATGGTTCCCCTTTCCTAGATCATATCGGAGACAAACCCCTAACAGTGTATGAAAAGTTCATAGTTGGCACTAAAGAAATATTTATAAATTAAGGAATAAGAAATGAATATTTATAGATAAAATAATTTCTATTGGTGGCTTGGAGAAAATTATATGTTGATCGTTTGTTTAGCTCTATATAAAAATAGATTATTATTTTAAAAATCTTCCAAACGTCATAGTTTATTTATCAGGTTATGATTTTTAATTTGTTAACTTATGTAGGGTACTTGCATCATACATCCTAATTCACAGATCAGTATATAGCACCTGAGATGCATGAGTAAATAAATATATCCAGGATTAGAAGACATGTTCTTGCCTAATTGCTAATGTTAATGGTATGCTCTTTAGCATATTCTATGTAGCTGGAATCGATATGGGATTAATTTATCCTATAGTTTGGATATTTCTTGATGATTTGCACCTGAGAATTTATCCTCCTTTGTCAACCCATGTGAAACTTAAAGCCAGAAACTCATTTTATCCCCCTTCAAGTTGTCCTTAACATAAATTGTTCGTATAATCAGCGTAATTCTTTCTTTGATGCCAGGAATTAGAAGGAAGAAACATCTTCATCTTATTAGTTTTCAATTTCATTTTTCTGAATAACTGAAGAAATTCAAATTCAATTAGCTACTCTCAGGGATTGTTCTCTGGTTGCAGGACTGCAGCCTACTAAAGGGCCCTCATATCCACTTGTGAAGCTTAGTGCAAGTAAAAGGGAACCAAAGATCACACCATAAGCCTTACCACATTTTGGCTTGTATCCTAATTGTTCCCCAGGAGGACAGTGGTTTTCCAGTCTCTGTAACAGTAGTGAATATCTGAATACCCTTTCATAAGTACATTTTGGGAAACATCATGAATACATCTTTACTCCCAACTCTATCCTAAACTTCTAGAATTATGTAGTGTGTGTATGTGTATGTGTACACATACACACACATGCAAGTATTAAATTATTGGTAGGTGGTTTATGAATCAGTTTGGATTTCTTGGCAACAGAAATATGTGTTTGAATTAGAGTTAGATGAAACTAATTGTTTATTTCTATTTAAATAAGAGCTGTGAATTCAGCTATTACTCAGCCTCTTTCTTTTGTGTAGTGTACTTGAAAATGAGAAATCTTATCAATAAAAAACTGAAAAATACCCTGAGAAGGAATCTGTTCATTAACTGAAAATTTTTTTATCTAGATTGTAATTTTAACTTGGACAGGAATGAGATAAAATATTTTTATTAATGATTATTCATAAAAAGGATTGATTCTTACTAGACCAAGAAGGCATTAACTTTTCTTGAGATACGCAGAAATCACTTTATTATTCAGGGACTTTATTGTAATGATTTTTCTCTTGACAGAATTTACTAGTGTTTAATAACCTCTGATTTGGGAAAGTGCATTTTACCTACTTGTTTGACTGCCAAAGTATTTTGCTATTATAGATAAAGTTGAGTGCCATAAAAATTACATTATGTTGAAATTATACTTAATTGATTGCCCAAACCATTTTTACACACATGAAGAAAGAAATTCAGAATGATGAAGATTCCCAAATGAATTCTGTTTGGACTGAACATGGCAAGCAAGAAAACAAAAATTTCAGGAAAGATACAGGATTTCTTGAAATGAAAGATGCCTTCAGAGAGACCACGAGTAGAACCCAGGTAAAGCTTTATAGGCTAAAAAAAAAAATGTGTTCTGCTTCATACAGAATTGTTTGTGATACAATATATGGTGGAAATAACATGGATCGAAGAGCTGGTATTTGAACCCAGCTCTGTGTTTTATGGTCTATGATTTAAGCATAGTAGGATGTTGCCCTGTGTCTCTGTTTTAAGACTCTTATTGAAATAATGCATATAGAAACACACAGTTCCTAATACATAGTATATTCTCAACATATGGTAATTACTTAAAATCCCTCTGTATGTTTAATATAACATGTGTCTTATAAAAAATTCTTATCTATCAGCAATACGTATATCCATAATTCATGATATAAATTCAAATATTTTACTGCATTTAGAACAAAATTTAAAAAGGACACAGATGATTTCTATTTTGGCTAAATATGGAAAACAAAAAATGGAAAGGAATTTGAACTTGGAGTAACTGAAAAGGACCTAAAGAAATTAGCATGCAATGTGGCTCTCAAAATTTTTGAAGTAGCAGCAGCAACCAAAAAAAGGCAGTATTAGTTCTATTCTGGAAAAGCTAATGTTCAATTATGTTCAGTTTCATATTGTGTTTTATAAAACATTATTTAGTTGATTTATCAAATCGTAAGCCTAGTAGCTATTATTACTTAGTCTCAACTAAAATGTTTTTAAATGTTACTAGGAAGATACTAAAAATAAATTTTGTGTTTACTGCACCTGTCAAAATTTTACAAAGAGAATTCTAGTAACAATTTAGAACTTCTTCAACTGAACAGTATCTTAAGAAATTATTTATAGAGAGATTAGATAAAACTTGCCAAGAGCTTAAAGTATTTTTGCAATTTTTTTCTGGCTTTTCCAAAGTACAGTTGATATTTATGTGACTTATAAAACTGCTTTCTATGATTAACTACATGTGTATGGTCTTAATAAGAGACTTTTTGACTTGATGTGTCTGTTGAAATAGGCATTATAAACCACAGTATAAATTTTTTTTTAATTTAGGAAGGAATGATGGAGTTATTAAAATAAATTTAGTTTTTATTTAACGTGGAGAAAAGTCAAAATGATAATTTTATGAAAGATAAATGAAAATACATCTATATATATCTTGAGTTCCTTTTAGAACCAAGAGGAGATATATAACATTCAAGTAGAAATTTTTAGTTTTTTAAATAAATTTCTTAGTATAATGATAAACAGTGTGGCTTTGATACTTTTTACTCTGTTTAACGTTATTATATCTATGTCCTATAAAAATATTTTTAAGATATTTTCACTTGATATGCATAATAATGGCAAGACTCGACTTAATCTACAGCCTAAATTATTTTTACAAACATTTGTAGAAGTGAAATAAAATAATGAAGATGACCATATTCTTTTTTTGACTAGTCATATGACAAATAGAAAAAAAGCAGAGATTCCAAGAAAAATTAAGTTAATAAAATTAAAATACTTAAATTAAATGTATATTAAAGAAAATAAAAACTTTGTGAACTAAAAATCTGTTTCTCTGCTTCCTCATAGTATAACTATTATGTAATATAACTCACAAGGCTCTTTACTGTATTTAATCTCGTATGTATATTTTACAAAACTTCCTGAGTGGGCTTTTCTGTTGTGACTTACATTGCTTGTGTTGAGGCTATGATTAATCCACAGTCTAACTAAAATGTTTTTACAAACATGCAGAAAAAAATGCAAAATCCTGTTGAAGATGTCAATGTTAGTTCTATTTTCACTGAACACCACAAAAAAGAAAAATGCAGAAATTCCAGTAAAGATTTCAAATTTAATAAATTGAGAAATACATTAGCAAGGCACACATATGGAAATCAGGTAAGATCTTCCAAATTAAAAATAATTTATTTATATTTTACATCTCTTCTAAATTTACCAAATATGTCATTCATGAAGTAGTTTTTAATTATATGTACAAAAGTGTTATCAAGTATTTGTGTACAGTTTTTTACAGAATGCAAAAATGTGTGCTATACACCCAACAGTTAGATTAAGAAATAGAGCATTCTCAGTTATTTCAGACCCTTAAATAACATCTGTTATTTCAGACCCTTAAATAACATCTCAGTTATTTAAGATGCAATTTTCCAAATTGCATCCCCTTTTCTTCCTCTTACCCTGAGATAACACCTCTTTCTTGGAATTTGTTTTAATTATTTTGTTTTTCATTATAGTTTTACCAGCAATGTGTGTATGCCTAATAATATGTATTTATCAGTGTATTCCTATAGTTTTGTCTGTTAATGAACTTTTGTAGCTCATGGTATTTAAAGTCATCTGTGACTTGTTTTTTTTGCTAGTGTATATAATGTTCTGTTGTTTCACAATTATCCATTTTATTCTTGATAAATATTTGAATTTCTTTTTTATGTTGGTTTGTATTTGATTGGTTGGTTTTTGCAATTATGAACGTTTCTGCCATGAACAGTGTGAACATGTTCTTATGTTACTCTTGATGCACATGTTCAAGAGTTTCTGTAGCTTAGGCTATATGAGTGCTCCTAGGAGTGAAATTGCTGGGCCATAAGGACTGTGCATGTTCAGTTGTACTAGGTAATACCCAACTGATTTCCAAAATATTTTAGTAATGCATAGCCCCTCCAACAATGATTTCCTGTTGTATGAGATTTCCTATTGTATATAACTATTATTTTTTTGTTTTTACTTTATTAAAAAATTATTTTTCAAATACAGTTGACATTCAATATTATATTAGTTTCAGGTGTACAACTAGTGCTTAGACATTTTTATAACTTACGAAGTGCTCACCCCGATAAACACAGAACCCTATTTTTAGACTCTCATTTATTTTCACTCTCATCTTTATTATTTCCTTGTATCTACTCACTTTGGACTTTGTTCTTCTTTTCTTTGCTCCTTTAGCTTCTTAGCTTTTTGAAGTAGACATGTATTGCTAAGAATTTCCCTCTTAGAACTGCTTTAACCCAAGTAGTTGTGACCCATAGATTTTGAGTCATTTTATTTACATTTTCATTTGTTTCAAGATACCTTTTGATTTCTTCCTTGACCTAATCTGTAACCCATTCATTGTTTAATAGCATGTTATTTAGCCTCCATGTGTTTGTGTATTTTTCACTTTTCTTGTAATTGATTTCTAATTTCATGTCATTGTGTTCAGAGAAGATGCTTGATATTTTAATCTTAAGCTTATTGAGACTTATTTTTGTGGCCTAGAATGTCATCTATCCTGGAAAATGTTCCATGTGCACTTGAAAAGAATGTGTATTCTGCTGCTTTGGGGTGAAATGTTCTAAAAATATTAATTAAATCCACCTGATCTAATGTGTCATTTAATGCTGAAGTTTCCTTTTTGATTTTCTGTCTGGATGATCTATCCATTGATATCAGTGGGGTGTTCAAGTCCCCCATTATTACTGTATTACTGTCAGTCTCTCCCTTTATGTCTGTCAATATTTGTTTTATATATTTAGGTGCTCCTACATTGGGTGTGTAATGTTTTCAAGGTTATATCTTGTTGGATTGATCCTGTTACCATTATGAAATGTCCTTCTTGGTCTCTTGTTATAGCCTTTGTTTTAAAGTCTGTTTTGTCTGATACAAGTTTTGTTACCCTAGCTTTTTTTTTTTTTTCCTTCGTTTACATTTGCATGAAATATCTTTTTTCATCGCTTTACTTTCAGCCTGTGTGTGTCTTTTTACCTGAATTGGGTTTCTTGTAAGCCTCATATGTACAGATCTTGTTTTCTTATCCATTCAGCCACCCTGTCTTTTGATTGGAACATTTAATCCATTTACATTTAAAGTGATTATTGATAGGTATATAGTTATTGCCATTTTATTCATATTTTTTGTCTTTTTTTTCCTCTCTTCTTAAATAAGTCCCTTTAACATTTCTTGTAAAACTGGTTTGGTGGTGATGAATTCTTTCAGCTTTTGCTTGTCTGGGAATCTCTTTATCTGTTCTTTGATTCTAAATGATAGCTTTGCAGGTTAAGAGCAATCTTGATTGTAGGTTTTTGCTTTTTATCACTTTGAATACTTTGTGCCAATCTCTTCTGGCCTGCAAAGTTTCTGTTGAGAAATCCATTGACAGTGCATAGGAGCTCTCTTGTAGATAACCAGCTGCTTTTATCTTGCTGCTTTTAAGATTCTCTCTTTTTCTTTAATCTTTGGCATTTTAATTACGATGTGTCTTGGTGTGGGCCTCTTTGCGTTTATCTTGTTTGGGACTCACTATTCTTCCTTGGGCTTTTATGTGTGTTGCCTTGCCAGGTTAGGGAAATTCTCTGTCATTATTTTTCCAAATAGGTTCTCAATCCCTTGCTCTCTGTTCTGGTATCTCTATGATGTGAGTGTTGTTATGCTTGATGTTGTGTCAGAGGTCTCGTAAACTATCCTAATTTTTTAAAAATTATTTTTGCTTTTCCAGTTTGGTGTTTTCTACTACCTTTATCTTCCAAATTGCTGATTTGATCCCCTGCTTTATTTAACCTGCTGTTGATTGCATCCAATCTATTATTCAGTTCAATTACTGTAGTCTTCATTTCTGACTATGTTTCTTTTCTTTGGTTTCTCTTGCTGTGTAAGTCCTCACTGAGTTTATCTATTCTTCCCCTAAGTTCACTGAGTAACCTTATAACCATGTTTTGAAGTCTGTATCTTGTAGAATTACTTGCCTCCATTATGTATAGTTTTTTTTCTGGATTTTTATTCTTCTGTTCTTTCCTGTTTTGGGGCGACCATTTTTTGTTTGTTTTTTTGCTTGGTCTCTTCATTTTGGCTGCTTTCCCATGTTTATTTCTATGTATTAGGTAGATCTGTTATGTCTCCCAGTTTTGGCTGGGTGGCTTTATGTAGTAGGTGTCCTTTGGGGTTCAGTGGTGCAGTTTCCCTGGTTACCTGAACCAGGTGCTCCAGCGGTGTCCCTTGTGTAGGTTGTGTGTGCCCTCCTATTTTAGTAGAGCCTTGATTGCTGTTGGCATGTCAGTGGGTGGGATTGACTCTCAGGCTGACTGGCTGTGAGGCTTGGCTGTGACTACAGCAGACAAGGTGTTGTGTGCTGGCTGGCCCTGTGGAACAAGATTCACTTTAGCAGAGCTCTGGTGCCTGCCAAGTCCACTCTTTGGTTATGTTGTTTGTAGTGCTAATTGGGTGGTTCTCTGTTGTGGTCTGAGGCTGGCCACCAGGTGTGTTGGTTCTGGGATTTCTTGGGAGGGGCTTTGGTGCAGGCCAAGATCAGCTGCTGCCTATACCCAACTAGGGAATACCTGGGAGGAGCCACAAAGTGACCTGCAGTTTTTAGCTGCCTATGCTGGGCTTGGAAGTGTGTTGGAAAGGCTATACTTTGAACCAGGGCCAAATGCTACTAGTGCTGATTTTGGAGCCGCCTAGCAAGAGGTACAGGGCACACTGAAGTCACCTGCTGCTTGCTTGGGGTTACTGGACCTTTGAGAGATTTTAGTAAAATCTGCAGCATGTACCAAAGCTGGCTGTTTGTGAGGCACAGTTGCTGAAAGAGGTTTGGGCCTGTTCATGAGTTGGGTGGGTCAGCGTCTCCAGGAATCAGCAGTGTGGAGTAAGTGGTGTTAGCCAGACTGATGGAGACCCAGATTTGGTGCCCACCTATGCTTCCAGGCTAGGTTCGGAGATGGCTCAACAAAGTAACAAAGGGGCCTGCCAGCAGTTTTTTCCTGGAGAGAGCTGCTTCTCCAGTCCTCGCCCTGATGCCATACAATTCAGTTCCTCTGGGTATGTCCCTGGTGCTTTTCTAGCTGTTGTCCCTTCACTGGAGCTTAGGGTGTGTGTTTATGAGTGAGTGAGTCTGTGCTCAGGCCCTTTAAGAGTACATCTGGGTCTCCTGCAACCCTCTATTTCACTTGGTTTTTCCCCACTGATTTTCATAGCCAGCTGTTGTGGGGATTCCTCTTCCTGGAACTGGTGGTCTATTCTGGGAAGCCCTGTGTAGAGCTGGGACCCCTCGTTCCTCAGGGAGGACCTCTGCAGCTAAGATATCCCTCTCAATTCTTAACCATCACACGTAGGGGTGGGATCAGCCCATTCTACATCTCCGTCCCTTCTACCAGGCTCTTTGTGACTTCTTCTTTATATCCTTAGTTAATAATACTTCTTCTGTTCAGCTAGACTTCAGGTAGTTCTCAATGGTGGTGGTTCTATAATTTAGTTGTAATTTTTTATTTGGTTGTGGGAGGGCATTTTCTACTCTTCCTTCTTGACTGGAAGTTTCTGTTATGTTTTTAAATGTGTTACACTGTGTGATAAGCCAGACTGTTCCTGAGTTTATTTGGATTTTACAGTATATATTGTTCATGTTGAGATTTGTTTAATTGTGGTCTATATACATTTAGAAGGAAATTAAGAAAAAGGATGAAGATATTCAAAGGAAAAAATGCAAAAAAAGAGATTTCAGGAAACGTGTGGAACATAACAGAATTAAAACTACCTTAAGAGAGCACACATATAGAGATCAGGTAAAACTTTGTAAGCTAAGATAAGTGGTTTGCATTTTTTCTGGCTCTTCCCTAATATAATATAGACATATATAATCTGATTTTTTTATTACTTGCTGTGTTAAATAGAACCTGCATATCTTATGAAAAACCTTGAGTTGATCTGGTATGATATTCACACTTAATGCTTTAATTAACTTTGGTTCAAAATGAAAATATTTTTACATGCCTACACAAAGAAATTTGAGTTAATAATCAGGATATTCAAATATATTTTGTTTGCCTGAATGTAACAAAAAAAGAAAAAGAAACAGGCTAAAATTTTTTAAATGAAAAATGCCTTAATGAATGAAAAATGTGCATGTATTGTAGTTTGGATTTACACATTCTAATCTAAATTTTAGTGTTTTTGTTGTTTGTTTTTTGTTTGCTTTACTCGGTTTCCTTGTTTTTAATTCATTTTTTTTTCTTTTCTCTGGAATGTTGAAACTAAATTTTAGTTTTTGATCTTTCTTGGTACAATGCAGACCATTTTTAATAAGATAGCTTGTTTTTTTAAAATGGGATCCTTCTTGAGTTAACTTTTCCAGAGTATAACTTCATTTTACAATTTAAACCACATCATGTTGATATACATATATTCAAAAGGATCTTCAGAAAAAAATTATAAAGGTAAATAAATACTCATGTTTTGTGTGAACATGACAACAAAGAAAAAGAGAGGTTCTAAAAGATTTGGAACGAGCTAAAATGAAAAGTACTTTAAGAAAGTACATATATAAATATCAGGTAAAAGTTTCCAAATTTAAATGTTTGCTTTTTTTAAACTTTTTATTTCATTATATAATCTTTATATAATATAATTTTAAGGATATTTGTTGTGGTTAACACTTCATGGATGTGTTCTTGTATTGTCCATTGTGATATTTACAATTTCTGTTGACACTGTATTACACTGTCTAAAGTACTTTTATGTGTTTGCAGGAAGAAATGAAGAATTCTGGTTTTGCCGATCATGCCAAAGAATCAAAAACCAAGGATATCAGGACAGATGTGGATATTACTGAAATAAAAAATGCCTTAAGGAAGCACATGTATAGAGCTCAGGTAAAATCTTACTATGCCAAGTTTTGAATCATTTCCTATTCTTAAGTATAACCAAAATATAATAAAATATAATAATAATAATAATAGACTCATTATGTTTAATGGCTTAAAATAATTCATTATTTTTTATGAGCAGTAGTGTGTTTGGGCATTTAATAAGTATGCTGAATTCTCTGCTATTTATACCTCCATGATGTTACAGATAAATTATGTGTGTATAGACTGCTGTAACTTGAACTTGTTTCTGGATGCTTGCTAGCCTGATATTGGAGAATGAGGACTGCATGATCCCTTTTGCTGCTGTCCTGGTTCAGCCTCAAGCTTTAGCACAGACCTTGAGGCCCTGGGTTGTGGGGAAGGGCTCTTTCCAGCTTTTCTGCATCCTAAGTGGAAGACAAAGCTATGTCATTGTTTTATTTTGTATTCTGTTAGCATTTTTAAGCATATTTTATACCTTCACTTGCCATTTGTATATTTCTTCCTCTGCCAATTGATTATTCATATTTTTTTCTATTTTCCATTAGGTTATTTTATATCATTGTTTCTAGATCTTTTTATATAATCGGAATATTATCTCTTAGGTTTGTTGCAAATATTTTTCTGGTGTACTCTTTTAAACAAATATACAATTTTAGGTATTTAAAAATATATAGGAAGATTTTTGCATGTGATTATATAGAAAACTTGACTGCTTATTTTTCTATGGACTCTTATACAAAATGTTCTCCCTATTTATATTTCTATATCAAAATACTAAGGACAGTGGACCTCTTTAGGTCTTCAAAATGAATATGACTTTACCTTTAAGTTATTTCAATTTAGAAGGAGAAAATAGAGAATGTTCATACTCATGAGATTGCTATGACCTTAAAATGATGAAAGTCGCTCGTCTGAGCCAACACGAATATGAGATCACTTATAGCTATTAATGTCTTCCTGAATCTGTTTTGTAAGTTTGGCCAAGGTTTTAATGCTTTGTAAACTGAAATGTATTTTTTGACTTAAAAATGTTTAATTTTAATTGTATGGTTGCTGTTTTGTAGGCTATCAGATACAGATGCATTAGAATAGATAAACAACCAGTATACAATGTCGAGGTAAGTGTCTTGGAGTAGGGTGGTGACAAGGGCAAAAAAGGAAGGTTTGTTATTTATTTGTTATTTTTAGTTATTTTGATATAAAGGAATGTGTTGTCTGCAACACATTCTATCAAATTTTAAGTATAGTTTCTCTAATTAGAAATAAAAAAGAAAAATACCTCCTGTCAAAGCTCCAAAAAAGTCTATGCTGTAGTAAAAACTAATAACAAGAATTAAAAACTTATGCTCATCACAGGTGAGTTTTGTGTCCCTGTTCTTGTATTTTATAGCTTTTATAATTACTAGTTCTAGATTAAATTTTCAATATAATATTTACAAAAGCATATTTTCCTTAATTAAGGTAATTCAAGATTTGATCCCAGAATTTTACTCTTATTTTCTTTGAGTCACAGAATCCTTCCTTTCTTAGGTTAAAAGTGCTGAATTTCCCAGAAGTGTATTAAATTTAATTGAAAGCCTCATAGAAGGACAGTTTTTTAAAGAAGCAATTGAAGAACTTTCCTCTTTGCGAGCACATTATATCCCTCCTGTATGCCTTCTTCATGCTCTTCTAGAGAACATTTTACAGGTAAGAACAATCTTTCAAAAAATGTTAAAATATGAACATTTTATTTTTTTATGTTTACAGTTCATTTTCTCTTCAGTATTTTTCCCCTCATTTTAATAGGAAATACAGTACTCATTTATTAACATTTCTGTTTTAAACTATTTACTAGGTACTACTCTGAATGCTTTTCACAGAATTTTCAAGATAATTTTCTCTTGGGAAAATTTTATCTGATTTTTTTCCATAGTAGTAAATTATCCAATATGAAAATAATTAGACTACAATGATTTAGAATGCCATTTAGTAAATTATGCCTTTAGTACATTGGTAATAATCAGTTTTATTTATGTAGACAGACAGCATACTCAAACTGTGAAAACCAATAGGTACAGCTTTTCAAAGGGAGCTTTCTAATATTCTTCATCAAGGTGCCAATTTGAAGAAATAACAGGTGTAAACTATGTCAGATTAATATTGGTGAGAAGAATGTTTCATGAAAAGTTTCTTACCTTTAGTTCCTTTAAAGTCATATTTGGGAACTCCTATTTTCACTATAACCATGAAATGTGAAATGATCATTTCGTATAAGTTAGTCCCCAAAGCTAGGATTAACTATTATATAGATACATGTTTAGTGTGTGCCTCTCTTTGTTGTATATTTAATTAGCTAAATATGATACTTCCATCTGATCTCTTTTGTCCAAACACATTTATATATTTGGCAAGAAAGTTAAGACGGGGTTAGTATAGTTTTTGACTGAATAAGCTGGTGAAACTGTACTTGTAGCTATAGTGTTTTACTTTTTTGTTTATTTTTAAAAGGATAACCTAGATACGTTTTCTGGTCGATACTTTCACATATTGTCAGCTCTTCTTCACTTACATCCTCCTTGGAAGTCCCCAGCCATGTCAAGATATTACTTAGAGTTGTTTCAGTGTCCATCTTGTATGAAAGGAGCATGGTCTCTAATAGAAGTGCTTATCAGGTAAGGAATTTCACATATGAGGATGCTAGATTTAATCTCGTAGTTGTTATGCTAGGTGTTTTTTAGATACTGGTGAAGGGAATACATGTCTTTGGAAAAAGTTTATGTGTGTATGTATATAGTATATCTGTGTTGTATTTATTGCAAAACACTTATAAAAAGGCCACGTCTACATTGGTCATGTTTGTCAATCAGATTATTTAAAAAATAAATGTTTAATGAGTATGTGAAATAGATTCACGGGAAAGCCAAATCATTATTTGTTTTTATTTTTTAACAAAAATAATGTTGTTTGCATATTGTTTTAAAAATTAAGAAAATTAATTTATTGCATATGGATATCATCAAACTTTGGTAATCAAAAGTGTAAACATTTATAACTATACAATATCTTTTTATGGTTCTAATATATTTTTTTCTGCTAGAAATTTGAATTTTGAAACTGAACTTAACTTTTCTTAAATATGTCATCTCTTTCATGTGTCTGCCTGTACTGTCCTCTGCCTAGATGCTTCCTTTGTCTTACAAATGTTACTCCTCCAGAAATCCTTCCTGTTTCTCCCAAACAAAACCATATCCCCTTTCTTCTTTGATAGCTCTCTGTATCTGATAGTCCTCCTTTGTTTGGAAGGTACTTTCTTTTTGTCCAAGTGTTCAGTGTTAGCCAGTCCATGGTAGTGAGAGAAGGGATACTTGACTAGCCAGGAAAAGTCTAGACCATTGGCTATCAATTTGAGATCGTAAAGATTCACCTACCATCTTGGTTGTGATATATTTGAAGCGTGCTAATCAGCTTGCTACATGTGTTTATTCACTCTTTCAGCAAATGTTTATAGAGTACTTACTGGGAGCCAGGCATTGTGCTACATTTCAGAGATAAGAAAAATAAAAAAGAAAACAGTTCTGCACTTTTGAAGGCGACTGAGATGTAAACGCAACTCTAACACAACAGTACTAGCCCAGCATAGGTATATAGGATGTGAGAATACATGGTTTATGTAGCTGACGTATTTCCTAATTACCAAATTTGTTTCTTCCTTCACTGTCATTGCCTTTATTTAAAAGCATCCACTGCTTTTTATATAAACTATTCTGGTTTTGATCTGCTTTATTGATCTTGATTTTACTTTTTTCCCTTTATCTTTCAAAGTACCCCAGTATGCTCTCATTTTCTAGGTAAAAGTCCTTCATTAACTCACACATCACCTACAGTTTAAATTCCTTAGCAAAACGTATAAGACCCTTCATGATTTTGCTCCTCTATATGTCTCCATTCTTTTTTTTTTTTAAGATTTTTATTGGGGAATTGGGGGATGGGAACAGCACTGGGGGAATTGGGGAAAGGGGAACAGACAAGTTGCTGTCCTTTTGTTCTTCAGTCTAGTTGTGGAGGACGTTGCTTCACTGGCCCAAGTTGGCACCATCATTGCGCTCTTCCCGGGCGAGTCAAATCAGTCGCCAGCTTCTGGATGGCTGCTCACTGCTGGCTGCTGACTACACACGGTAGCCCGTGGCAACCCACTGCAGCAGGGGCTGCAGCCTACACCGTCGCCGGCAACTCACGGCATCCTAGTTCCAGGTTGAGCTGTTGTTCAGCATCTTAGCTGTGGAGGGCAGTGTCACTGGCCTCATATGTGGGATCCGAACCGAGGTCCTCTGGCGTCCCAAGCCAGCTCTTAACCAACTGAGTCACTCGGCCGGCCCTCTATGTCTCCATTCTTAATCTTCAGCATATTCCCAAATGTGCCCAACCACTGAACTATTTTACATTTCCTGTCCCTTTGCTCTTATGTTTTCACTGCATATATATATACCTTCATTCCTGCCACCTCCAGAATACCTGTCCAACTCCTACTCATGCTTTAAAATGCAACTCATATAATACTTCCTAATTCTTGCTCTTTCCTTTGAGTTAAGTTCGTTACATCAGCCTTTGACTTTAAGAATAGATGCTCAGTTTTAAACATCTCAGTGTTTAATATAATGCCTGAAACATAATAAGTGCTTAATAAATGTTTGAATGAATTAATTGAAGCTATATGAAATGGAGTTTGGACAGCTTAAAAGTAGATTTTTTAATAAATATCCAGATTTTTTTCAAAATAATTGGGTTTATTGGGTAGAAAGTACCTATGGAAGTGGTAGGAATATAGATGAGCTGTTTGATATTAGTACAGTTTTGAATATATTTCAGATATTATATAACATACATTAAAAAAGAAAAAAGATCATTGGTATCCATCTCTGGCAATTTTCAGAGAAACTAAATAACTGTATGGGTATGGAGGATCTTCTAGAACAGATTTGAGTATTAAATGAATTATTAACTTTAATAGCTATTAAGAACCTTACTAACCTGAGAATGTGGTATTCAAAAAGAAGACCAGGAAGGTAGAGACAGAGGTAGAAAGTTACAAGTATATTGTTAATATAATTGATAGTAAAGCTGGAAGAAAATTGTAACAAATATTGTTGACTAGACTCTCTCTCTCAGTCCTAGAGTTCTGAGAAGTCTTATGTTCTCTTTTTAAAAATACTATGGAGCTGCTGTTCAACCCAGTCGTCATTAGCCACATGTAACTATTTAAATTTGATTAAGATTAAATTATTAAAAATTCATGTTCTCAGTTGCACAAGCCACATTTGAATAGAACCTGTTCATCACAGAAAGTTCTGTTGGACAGCTATAGAAGATGCAAAGAAAATAAATACTGAATTTTTAAAACTTGAAAAAGTAGCCCAAAATGACCTTCATTTTACTAAATAATGAAAAAAGTTATCGCAAGTGAAAAGATGGTTATGGAGAGTATTATAAATTGAGAGTTTAGCTGGTCATCTGAATCAAAAAGGTTTAATGAATTTCATTATTTTTTATTCTTTATCAGTGATGAAAGAGTACAAAAAGAGAGACCAGATGGTTGTTAAACATAGCAATCATTGAAAAACAGAAAAAATTAGATCTGTATTATGAAAAATTTAGTATTATGAGCTATTTGAGTAAAGGAAGAAAATAATAAAATTATTGAATTTGACTTATATTCTGTTGAAGTGAATTTCATTAAAATTCCAGTAATACTCTAAAAAAATGCTTTATTCACAAATTACTCAATAAATTACTTGTATTTTTGTTATATTTATCTTTTCAGGTCTTGTCTTTTCAATGAAAGTTTTTGTCATCAAATTTCGGAAAATATTATTGGCTCTAAGATGCTCCATCTGACAGTGCTCAAATTTTTCTTCAATTTAGTTGAAAGTGAAGTGCGACATCTGAGTCAAAAGTAAGTTTTAATTGCAGAAAACCTCACCATTTTCTATATGTTGTTTTATGTACTATTTTTCTTTTTTTTTCTTTTTTTTTTTTTTTAAAGATTTTTATTGGGGAATTGGGGAAAGGGGAACAGACAAGTTGCTGTCCTTTTGTTCTTCAGTCTAGTTGTGGAGGACGTTGCTTCACTGGCCCAAGTT